CAGAAGGAGAGAAAGAAAAAAGGCCAATAAGAAAAAGGAAAATGACATGTGGGCTGATATCAAGAAAATGACCACACTCCGCCTGTTGGAAGCGGATTTCGATTACCATCCAATGGAATACATCGGAATGGGCTTCGAAAATCGACCGCGAATTTCGATGTTCAAACACTTTGTATCTTCAAATTGAAATGGCATCCGAATTTAAAGCAGTGAATAAATGGTTAAAATTTAAAAATTCAAATTCAAACTCGTACTTTAATTCATTGCAATGTATTTGCCCAGATCCGAGTATGATCGTGGTGTCAATACGTTCTCTCCGGAGGGCCGTCTTTTCCAAGTCGAATATGCCATGGAAGCAATTAAGGTATCATTGTTTTGTGCTAATTGTTTAGCTCGGAACAACAGTAATCGGTCTCAAAACAGCCCAGGGCATTGTGCTTGCTGCTGAAAAGCGAATTAGCTCTTCCCTTTTGCTTCCCTCTTCGATTGAGAAAATCATTGAAGTCGATTCGCACGTCGGAATGGCATTGAGTGGGGTTGCCGCCGATTCGCGCCTTATCATGGACCATGCGCGTCTGGAAGCAACTGTATTTTGGGGCATTTTGTTTATTTTGTTGTAGAACCATACCTTTGTGTATGAGGAGCCGATCCCCATGGAAAGCATTGCGCAGTCTGTTGGCGATCTGGCATTGAGATTCGGCGAGGGCATTGACGGCCAAAAGGCAATAATGGTATTTTGTTGTTTTTACCGCAGAGCCGACCTTTTGGCGTGTCCATTCTTATTGCAGGGATTGACTCCAAAAATGGCCCGATTTTATATCACACAGACCCCTCTGGAACGTACCTGGAATTTGACGCCAAGGCCATTGGAGCCGGGTCCGAAGCTGCCATGATTACCCTGGAGTCTTCATATAAGAAGGTGCGAAAATTGCCATTTATTATCACCGTCATTGTAGGATATTTTATTGGATGACGCCGTAAAGCTCTCCATTTCCATACTGAAGCAGGTGATGGAGGAAAAGCTCGGAGCAAAGAACATCGAAATTGTAACAATAACACCCACGGATGGCTTTTCGCCGCTCTCCCCAGAGAGGCTCTCCCAGCTTCTTGCCCAGCACTAAACAGGATCGATTTTCCGGCAAAATTTCCCATAAATTTTCAAAATGTGACTTTTGATTAAAGTTTGATGCTTGCTTTCAATTTCGAATTGACTATCGCATGCGCGAGACAACTGATCTCCCCAATCATATTTTGGGCTCGGGTTCGGGAGAAGAAATATCTTCCGAGATGCAAAGCTTCACGGATGAAGTCAACCGCCTATGCTCGCTTTCTTTTGTTTCAGACAAGGCCGGTGAGAGCCATTATGTGAGGGCGCGTCACATGTCGTCGAGCGAGCGCATCTCGATTCACAATACTCAAGCCGAAGAGTGCAGGGATGCCGATTTGGACGATCTGTTTGGCCTTTCCCACGCTGTAAGTAACATGTACCTTCTATCGCCACCAACCCAACCTGCGTTCGAGAGGGTTGTCACGCAGCAGCATTGGGCTCGCATTACGCAGTCTCCTGCCACTTCGTTTCTTTCTCGGTTCTCCCCGTCTGAGGAAATGTTGAATACATGGTCGTACGTATTTGATGACGATATGAACATCCGGGATAATTCCATGATCAAAGGAAAGTACATCATTGGGAGAATCATCTGCCAGGGCGCAATTACGGAAAGTAGGGAGGGCATTCCAACGACTGCAAATGGGTTTCAAAATCCGGTGGTTTTGAAAATCGTCAAATTCTTGCCCGGCACAGAGTCTGCGCACAAACTTTGTCGGCTTTTTACGAAGGAAATCTCAATCTGGAAATCGCTTGACCATCCAAATATCCTTCCCCTGCAGGATCTGCAGACCTTTCCAGGAATGATTATTGCCGTAAGCCCGATGGCATCGAAGGGCGACCTTCTTCGACTGATCCAACGGAATGGTGGCGCCGATATCCCGATCTCCATCATCAAGAAGATAATGCACCAAGTTGCCAAAGCGCTTTATTATTTGCACGTGGAAAAGCGTATCATCCACCGGGATGTAAAGCTGGAGAATATCTTGATCCATTCCTTTGATCAGGTCTACCTATGCGATTTTGGGCTTTCCGAGCTTATTTTGAGACCCGAGTTTTATGAAAAAAAACCAGGCCCCCTTTGTCACATCTGTATCAGAGTAAATGAGACTTTTCCTTCATCTTCGTTTTCATGTCTATGTTCGTGTAATCGATGTGCTCCACAAAAAAAACCAGCAACAGATGACGCCTGCCAAGCTAAGCAGGAAAGCGGGTCTGCAGCACACTGCACAGGCTCTTTGTGGTATTGCCCTCCTGAAGAGCTTTTACCTGAGCTCAAGTCGCAGATTTCCGATTGTTATTGTGAAAGGGTGCTCAATGGACCGAAAGCGGATATTTGGGCGTTCGGCGTTTGTCTGTATGCTTTAGTTAAAGGGAAATATCCCTTTATGGACGAATTTATCCCACGGCTGCAAATGAAAGTAAAAGCTGGCGTTTATGAACCGATCACTTATCTTCCAGACGTCGATGAGCGGAGCTTGGCTGATTTGAATCAAATTTTAGAATGCTCTCTTTGCGTAGATAGGTACAAGCGTTGGGACATCAAACAGGCCATCAGTTCGGCGTTTTTTCGGGACTTTAGTACTTCCTAGAAACCTGGGGCTCAATGTATTTATTATCTTAACCCAAACTCAAAGATATCACAGCTCCCATTATCTGCGTCGTTATTCTCTTGTCGCTTGCATTTCCGATTTCTAGCTAAGCGCGGAAAAGTCGTCAATCCCTCAAATGTTTCCCATAACTCCGTCACTATGAGATCCTCAAAGCGACGTGATAAGTAGAACGACACCGGCATTTTCGGAAGCATTCCGATGTGATGTAAGGTATTTCTAATAAACGGTTCCAAAAAAGTTTATTTTAATTTCGATCAAGGTGGAGTGCATTTAAGTCAAATAATTGGTGCTCCAAGAGTAATTTCAGGTTCGGAAATTTGTGCAAACAAAGGCATGTAAGGGAGCAGAAAGTTGTACACAAGGTACTGGGCTACTAAAATACTCGAAATTATCATGATAAACTCCCATGAATGTTTAAGCTTATCAAGTCCATTAAGGAGCCATTTCGCATTCAATAAATTCATAATGCAGCCAATGATTATTATAGACCACTTTGATATTTTGTCAAGTTCATTTTGGTGATAAATAAGTAGGAAACGGAGTTTCAAGGTAATTGGCATGCCCAGGATGATGCGAAAAATCAAAAAAAAGAATCTAAATAGAACATCTAGATGCCATTTAATAGGCGATTCTTTAATCTGTAAACCGCTATTATGAGTAGTTTCGGTAGTTTTGGTAGTTTCGGTAATTTTGGTAGTTTCGGTAATTTTGGGTTTATGGTCTTGTTCTGGAAAAAGGATAATTTTTACACTAAAAAAGATCGTAGAAATTTCATACACAAGAAAAAGCACGCCAATGTAAGGCGCAATAGGATATGAAAAGAT